ATATAATATTCTTAGTCATCTCTTATGAATTATGATGTGATATTTTTAATTAAATCATGGTTAATAATTGTTAAAAAAATGTGTTACCAAGACATACTATATTTACACTAATATTCTTTATGATATCAATATTATTAAGCAAATATAATTATGAAAAAAAAGATCATCACTTTCATTAGAATACATTTTTTAAAATTTAAGATTTTTTCACAATATTTATAATAAAACTATAAATGAATAAATGAAATTTCCATCCTTTAAAATAGATACTTCCATAACCTCTAAAAAAATCATATTTTTATGACACACTTAAATGAATTTAGTTTTGATTTTATTTTTTAAATATTGATAAAAAAATAAAAAAAATTTAAAAAAAAATTGATCTTTGCTTTAAACTACTACAAACGACTAGCCAATTTTCAAAATGATCAAATATTTAAATAAAATAAATTTAAAAAGGAGTAATTTTGTACTCAAATAAAAAGAAAAAACACAAAAAAACTATAAAATATTTTTGTAAATTTCTACTCAAAATCATAGAGTCACTAATGTTTTTTTTCTATTAATTTCTTTAATTAATGCTAATGAATAGAATCATCAGTTTTTTAATTATTTTTTATTTTTATTTTTTAAATTATAGGATTGCTAATCTGAGATTTTATTTTTTTGAATTATGCGAGGAGAGAAGAATCATTTCGATATTTTTTAATCAATGCAAGAGAGGAAAATTATGATAATACGTGAGAGATGAATAATATTTATTTTGCTATTCAAAATTAAAGGAGCAACGCAGGATAGAAGAATCATATTCTTTGAATCATAACTAATGCAAGGAGAATAATAATAGAACCACCAATGTTTTTTTAATTAAACTGTGGAAAGAAAAATAATATTTTTTTAATCAATATGAGGAAGGAGAATAATATTAATGCGGGAAGATGAATCAATTTTATTCGATAATCTAAACTAATATGGGGATCGGAGAATCATTTTTTGCCTATCAATGATGGTTGTATAATTGCTACGTCAAAATTGATGTGGATGATTTAACGTGGTTGGCTAATATATACAGTGTCTCGGTTCATTTTATTGCTTAAAATTATCAATGGGCTTTAATAGTAGAGGATGTTTGAGACCTAGAAAAGTGGAGGTAATTTATATAAATGAGGCTTGAACCTTTATCAAGGACAAATAGTGGAGGCATATCTTTGTGGAAATAGATTGCAACGAAGTGGTTGATGCTCTTTATAATTCCACCAATATTATGATTTAGTTAGTGAGAGTAAAAGTCGGGTTGGAAGTATTAGTTTTAGATGTTTTTTGGTAGTCTTTTATCACATCACACAAAAATGTTATAAACCTTAATTTTTCAAAATGTTCTAATTTAAATAAGAGTCTGACATGTTAATTTTCAAATATATAGTATAATTTTCATTTGCAAATATTATATTTTCTCTGTCCCACAAAACTTTTCTTTTTTTTTTCATCCGTCCCAAAAAAACCTTTCTCAAATTCTCATTACTGTTTAAAACTCACTTTTACCCTTACCAATTCTTAACCTGTCTATCACATCATATTTTTTCACTTTTAATCTACCCATCACATCTTACTTTGACCTATCTTATCGAAGGACATTTTTGAAAGATCAACATTAAAATAAGTCATTTAAAAGTCAAAACGAGAAAAGTTTTGTGAGATGGAGGAAGTATATTTTATCATTATTCTAACTTTTAATGTTGATGCTTTATTTGGTACATACGATTTTTTAAATATGTTGTAGCAAAGAAAAATTAAAAATTCATTCCACCCGTGTATGACACAGGTTAAAAGACTAGTTCTTCAAAATCAAGGAGATTGTGTTGTAATAAGAAATTAGAAGAGGGAGTGCAAGAATAGATTCTGGAGCAGATTGGGATTAAGATACCGAGCATGCATCCACCTAATATGTATGTATAGAGAATTCTATTAAGTGAGTGGGATTTAAAAAGTATGTAATGAGCAACATATTGTGAGATTATTTTGCATTCGTTCTTAATTTCTTGACTGATCTTGAGATTCATCACACATATTACACAGATAGCGAATGAAGAAAAGACTAATGGTATGTTTGGTGCACGAAATTGACGGAATTGGAATTGGATTAAGAGTTGAAATTCAATGAAATTGACTTAGATGGATTTGAATTTTCTAATTCCAAATCATTTTTGGCACTATCAATTCTAAATTCATATATTTTTGAGCTACCAAACAATAGAATTGGAACTGTTATCCTTAATTCTAATTTTATAGTTTGATTTCTGTGTACCAAAGAGAATCAAAGAGTAAAGAACTTAAATTAGACTTAGATTCAGAAAGTCATGGTGATAAAAGTGAATTGAGCTGTAAAATAATAGGATACTCCATTTGAAACTCTCAAAAGTTAAAACTAAGGGGGGTGTATTCAATCTGGATTATGAAAGATTTCGATAGATTGTTTAAAGTCTTTAGATTATGCAAAATCTATGGACTGTTTTAAGTCCATGCAGATTTTGATAGATTTTAATATGTTTTATCAGCAGAATTTTATAGGATTCTGTTTGATTGTTTATTATATATAGATTATTTATACATGTTCATCAAATCAGCACTATGTTCCCAACCCACGCAGACCAGCCAAGCAGCTCCCAGGCATTGTTTTCCACAAAAACAGCAACAGGTTCACAGGGCAATAGGTCACTCACAAAACAAACAATAGTTCCAATCATTTACAAAATCAGTTCACCATCACAAAACAAAGAGTGGAGCACACAAACCAGAACTAACATGGGTTCCATGTCTCCATTGAATCCTCAAAATCAAAAGCAAAAAACAGATTGTATGGTGCCAAACTTACAACAAAAAACCAGCACGCAATTGAGTATCACAATGAAACCCAAACACAAAGGATTGTTGTTGAATAAAGCATCAACAAACACCTCAAAATAACACCCAAGATTCCATAAATATTTGGCCACAAACAAACCTAATCCTGATGAAAATCGTATTCCAAAGTTTCGCGTTGAACAGTAAGAACGCTACCCAAAATTCCTTGAATCGATTGAATAATCAAATGGGATTGAAATCCAACCTCATAACATGAAATAGGATTACCAATCGCTCAAAATCTCAGACAATTAGCCATAAAAAAAAGTCTGGATCGTGTCGAATCAGTGAGACAAAATCGCGATGAACAGTGTCAGACACGGCGTTGACCCTCAAATTCTTCAAATCAACTCCAAAATCAGCGATAAAAACCTCTAATATAGATTCCCCCGCTGTAGGCAAACCAAGAGTTCCAAAAATCTGAAAGAACCAGTTCAAAACCATGGAGAATCGGCAAAAACAGATTTCGACCCGAGGAGAGGATGAAGAAGAAGGCCGATGATCGAAGAAGAAGACGGCCGAAGAAGAAGAAGACGTCCGAAGAAGTAGACGGCCGAAGATTTTATAAAATCTTTGGTTTTTGGGTGAGATTTGGGAATGGATTTATATTTATACCCAATGCTTACAAATCCATCAAAATCTACTTTTTTAAAAATCTTTAAAAATCTATCAACTTTTTGAATACTATCAAATTTAGAAGGATTTTTTAAAATCTCAATTGAATACATTCAGATTTTAAATGACTTTTTAAAATCCGAATTGAATACCTACAGATTTTCAAAATCCAAAAAAATTCATCAGAATCCTGGTTGAATACACCCCCTTAAGAAAAAACCAAGGGAGTGTTTGGGTAAATGAAAGGGAGACAAAGGCAACCAAAAACCGGATTCAATGGGTCCAATGTTCAGTGGTCGAACGGATCCGAAAGCGACGACCAAACAAAGCCCTACCCTCACACTCCACTCCACCCTCCCTGCAGCCGCCCTCCCCATAACATTTGGACCAATTGCAACTTTGTAATTAGATAGAATGTCCCTCAGAAAGAATTTATTGAAAAATGCTAGAAATACATCAAAAGTGTACCCTATTTGTCCCTTACCCCCTCCATAACCACTCAAATAGACAAGAAAATTAAAAGAAATATGTAAATAAAAATTAATTAAAAATGAGTGATGGATAAGAGAGTGGTGTACAAATGAGATACACTTTTGGTGTACCCCTGGCATTACTCAAAATTATTTGACATCAAATACTAAAAGTTTTCCATATACTTCCGTATTCTTTTTAAAATACATAAAAAGTTGAATAATTATTGACATAAATCACGTTGATATTCAAGACTTTTTGATGTATTTTACATGTCATAATCATTTTAATTGTGAGTAAAGAGAGTAAGAAAAATGAAAATGGTTCTTTAATTGGATGTTACTGTTACTGTCTCTAGTAACTTTTGTTTATGTGTATATTCTCATTAATCATTTGATATAATAATATATTCTTTTTCATCTCATATTTTATTGAATTTTTGATATAGTTTTGAACGGTGTGATTTTTATTTTTATATCAATTTGTAATTAAAATAATCTTAAAAAAGATAAATTTCACACGTTGTTTGGAGAGAGATATTCATTTAATTATGAGACGGGAGGAAGTATTAAGATTGACATCACTATTTTTTGTCAACTTGATCTTCTCCTTGGATTGAGTGATAACAAGACTATTTCAGAAATTCTAATTATAAAGATCTTCCATGTTCAAATCTCAAATTGGTGTTAATTCTAAACATTAACATGTTGAGTACTAATAATATCAATATTAATGTCATTCATAGTGTGATTGTAACAGGATTAAGAAACAACAAATCGACTTGTATCTCAAAATGTATCTTAATGTTTACATTTATATTTTGTGTCAATCTAAATACGAGATTGATGTTTTACATTGACACATGTCAATGTGAAATCTTATAATCGCACTAATATTTAATGTTAATATAAGTCATTAGAATATAAATATGAATTTTTAGGGGCATGCTAGGAGTACAACAAAATGGAGTACCTCATTTATACACTAGACAGACATAGATGCAAAACACTTAGTATTTGTATTTGTCTGTGTTTGCCTGGTGTACCCATAAATTTATTCAAATTTTTATGATAGATTTTACTTCATCCGTCCCACTATATTTGTCCACTTTCATTTTTGCACACCATCCAATACACTTCTTTAATCCATTTTATCTTGTAATTTGTATATTAAAAAATTATAGAAATTATATATTAATAATCTATATGTTAAGACAAATCAAACAAGATCACGCATGACTATATTTAAGTTTACACATTGAGAGAATTTGATGAGTCAAAGTGCTTAGATGAACAGTTCCAAAAGTCAAAAGTGGACGAATATAGCGGGACGGAGGGAGTAATTTTTTAAGGTATAATCTTTAGATTACACGTAACATGTTTGTTAAAAAAAACATGTGGGTGCCATGAAATCTATATGGGCCCGGGCCAAGATCTAAATGGATCATCGTAGGTTCAATGAAATTTGTATGGACCCTCGAAATAAGACCAGAAAAGCAGTTGGAAATTATTACTGCTGACAGTAACAAATCATGGATTCACTTCGATCCTCGCGCTATAAATAATAATGATATATGCCCAGTTAATCTTCGCTTTACCATCCTTTTTCTTTTTTTTGACTTTTCGTCCAATCATAGTTAAATTGAAGAATTGAAAGTGTAAAAGGGGGGAAAAAAGTGAAAAAACGAGTAAAAAATGTGGATCATGTTATAATTGTTGTTTTTTTTTTACAAACAAAATCAGCTCTACTTTAGTTTACAGCGTGAAGCTCTGCTACACGCATACAAGAAAGAAAGAAGAAAACAATGTCCAAAGAAAAGAAGAAGTCAAGAAGAAGAAGAAAAAAGGAATACTTCTCCCTCCACAAATGTTCTTTTCATTTGACTTTTATAATTTCTAATGTTATATTTTGACCATTAATCTCTATATTTATATATAGATATACGGAGTATTTCATAAAATTTTGATATTTGTCAACTACGTTTCCATAGGAATAAATTAATATTAAATTTATATCATAGTAAATGTGTTTTTTTCTATATATCAGAGTAAAATTTTACAAATTTTGATCAAGAAAAGTCAAATGACGAGAACAGAAGAAAGGAGTATAACAATTGCACGCCATCTGTTTTTTTGCCATAATTTATGCAAGTATTAAACTAGAGACTCATTTTGAATAAAAAACAAATTTAAATTTACCTAAAATGGGAGTCACCCTTCAAAAAAGTTGGAAGGGGCCAAATAGCGCCAGTACCCCCGTGGTTTGCATAATAGGCACCAAAACCCCCTCTGTTTTCAAAACTTATTTCTAACGTCTTTGTGGTTTCAAAATGCTGCACCCGTGCCCCCTTTGATCTTTTTCCGGCAATTTTTCCGGCGAAGAAGGGGGGCATTGCTGCATATTTACTAAACCACAGGGGGTATCGGTGCTGATATTTATTTCTCGCTTATTTTTTTTGTTTTTTTCCATTTTTCCTTTATTTGTTTCTTTTATTAATAAAGGTTTTTTTAAAATTATTTTTATAATGCTAATAAAATTTAAAGTTATTTTTGTTTAAAAAAATTAACACATAATGTATATGTACTTCTCAAATCAACAATTTTTGTTTTTTCTGAAAAAAGTAAACTTTTTTTTGAGAATTTCAAAAAAAATGACGAATAAAATAAGAAACAAAATAATAGAAAAATAAAAATGAATATCTTTTTCGAACATCTCAATTCTAAGGACTTTTTTAGGCTTGTCCATTTTTTTGTATCGGACTTTTTTTGTGTATTTTTATTTTTCATTTTATTTTTCCATATTTTTATTTTTTTATTCTAGGTTTTTCTTTTTGAACTTTCCAAATAAGTACGTAACAAAAAGTAAAAATGTTTAATTTCAAATAGATGCGATGTATGTTAATTTTTTATTTTTATTTTTATTTCAAACACAAAAAATTTTAGAATTTTAAAACATTATAAAAAATTGAAAATAAATTAGAAAAAAATATAGGAAAAGAAAAAAGAGATAGAAAATATTTAAAAAAAAAAGAAAAACACAAATAATAAACGAAAAATAAAAAATGAGCATGAATACCCCCTATGGTTTAAAAATTATGCGCAAATACACCCTCTTCGCCGGAAAATGGCCGGAAAATGATCAGAGGGGGCACAGGTGCAGCATTTTGAAACCACGGGGACTTTAGAAATAAGTTTTGAAAATAGAGGGGGCATTGGCGCCAATTTTCCAAACCACAGGGGGCACCGGAGCTATTTGGTCAGTTGGAAGGTAAGCAACAATAATGGCTTTATAGCCTCAAAAAAAAAGAAGAAAAAAAATCTAGAAATACCTCAAGTTGATGTATTCCAAGTGTACACCGATTCTCACAAAAAGATACGAGCACTCATCATCTGTGTTTTACACAAACACTAGTATATGTAAGAAATTGGTGTACACTTTGGATATACAAGAGAAAACAGCGGTTTTGTGGGTGTGGGCCATGTGGTCTAGCAACCCCAACCACTCACGAGAAATGAAGAGTGTGGATGATAAGGGTACGTGGAATGAACAAAGAATGGGGATGAGTACGGGTAATAATTAATTAGCCCAAGCCCACAAATAAAATTAGAATCCTAACTATCATCATTTTTATTGCTTAATTGCACTTCTTCCATTTCAATAAAGTTTTCTATACTTCGACTTTTTGGTCACTTTTTTTCACACATTTCATACAAGCGTTTTAAATTATGATTGTGTAATTAATATATATTTTGAGCATGAGTTAAAAATTACTCTCTCCGCCTCACTTGAATTTTTACGTATACTATTCACAATGTTAAATTTTATATACTTTATTTTACTATTTTCGTTACTCATTTAATAACATAATATAATCATGTCATCTCTAATTTTAAAGATATTTTGATATAGATTTTTAATATATAATTTTTATTTTAATTTTACGCCTATAATCAAATAATTTGAATTGAAAATAAAGTTAGTCAAATCTTATAACGCGAACTAAAAAATTCAAATAGAACGGAGAGAATAATAAAAAGAATATCTAAAATGTGTTATAACTAGACATTGCCTCAATATCATAATTGATTTCTATCAACAAAAAAATACTCGAAGTAATTTGTTGGGTCTCCGGTATGTTGGATCAACGTGACATTAAAGCATATAGCGGATGGGCTTTTGGAATATGGGCTCTTCCTTAAAAAACTGAATACTAGCCCACGTTTCTCACACGACGTAGTTCTCTTACATTATATATTCCCCAGTGGAAGCCCAATGCCACAAGTCCATGGGTGCCCACTAACACAATGGTATAGCTCATTCCAATTTATAACAATTTCATTTCAATTGAGTGGTGTTTCTCTTTGTTTTAAGTTGGGTCAAAATTTATTATAAATTGTCTCTAGATTTTAAGTTAACTGATGACTTAAATTTCCCCAAGTGTACACTTTACACAAAACAAAATGAAATTCTAAGTTTTTTTTAAATTTCTTTTATTTAAAGGTTGGTAAAGTAATTAAAAATAAGATTTACATGTTTTAAAACTGCGTCAAAAGTTATATAAACATGAGATGATAAAAATATTTTATTTTACCAAATAATTAATCAAAACACATAAATAAACAAAAGTTTTCGTGACTTTTGAATAGTAAAAAAGTGTAATTCTTTTATAGACAGAGGTAGTAATACCCTCATCCCTATTTTCAATATTTTGATTACAAATTGTAGAAAATGAATAAAAATATCAAATTTTTTCAATTCTTTTTATTTAAAAATTGAGACATAAATCAAATATAAAATTTGCATATTTAAAAACTACATCAAAAGTTTTTCAAAATAAGAGGTGACAAAAATATTTTATTTTATAAAATAATCAATAAAAATTTACAAATAAACAAAAATTATCATGATTTTAGAATATTAAACATTATAATCAATTGTGAGACGGATTGAATATATGCTTCTTCCATTCTATATTAATTGTCTAATAACACATTTTAAGTACATTGAAAATAAATGATTATAAACATAAAATCTATCTACATTCATTTAGAATGCACCAAGAAAATCATAATAAACCTGTAATATGCAATGGAGTATTGTTATTCAAGAATAAAAAGTCAACATTTTATCTAAATTGGAACATATGATTTGTTATTTGACCTCTTATTTAAGAAACCTTGGTCTTGTTTGACAACAACGTTGTCGATTAGCATTAACGTTTTGGGTAAAATTTTAATGGTATATATTAATTCTGAAAATGCTAATCCTACCGTCGGATAACCTTTTCAAAATGTTAACGCTGATGCCAAACATGACCCTTATTATTTAAGAGTTAATACACTAGAACATAAGGTATTTGAGATAAACTAATATTAGCTATTAACTAACAAAACATATCATTATTTTTTTTTTTAAATATGGGGTGGAGTGGTGGACACTAAACTAGATGAAGTGATGAACACGGTTACGTACAAATATCTCAATTGTATACGTGGGTGAACTTAGCCAATTCATATTAGAAAACACGATGCAATATAGTTATTCCCTTCATTCAAAGTTTAGATAAATTTTATGATTAAATTTATTTAAATAAGATAAAGAATGTTGTAATTTGCACATTTATTACAAAAATAAAAAATAAAATAGATAAACGTGTTTTGAAATTTTTAAAAAATAAAATGAGTAATTTCATTGAAGAAGTAATTGCAAGGGCAAGTTAGTGACCTAATACTAAAACGTGTTCTCGAATATATGGTAGGATAAAACTATTTGTACCCCACTTTATACATCGCAGGTATGCACTAACATTTTATGTTGGTGTAATTCTAATTTTTGTTAACGCACCAATACTTTGTATCAGTATAAATTTTTGTTAGTATACCAACACTTTGTGTCAGTGTGAACCATCAAAATATTGATGCATATCTTTGATGTACAAATGAGGTATAAATTTTGAAGTACAAGTAGCATGTCCTAAATGGTATGTCCTCAACAATCACCTCCATTATTTTGACACAAAAAAACCACTTTTATAATACTTCCATCCGCTTCAAATTAATTTCTTAAATTTCATATTTGAATTACGGAGTATCTTAAAACAAATTTTTTTTTTCTTCAAAAGGGACATGATAAATAATTGATTTTGATGATCTCTTCTTCTTATGCTTCACAAAATAGTTTCATTTTTTCTTAAATTTGGTGAAAAAGAGCCAGATACAAGTATGAGATAGACTATGTCTATCCCAAATCTAATTTAAATTTGTATGATGCTTCATTTGACCTTAAAATTCTTCTTACCCCTAATTCCACTCAAACCCTTTATCTTGCCCTAATCGAGTGTATTCCTCTACCCCTAATTTAAGTTACTTGTGGACATATAATTTTACCCAAAGTTAACTAAAAATTCGGGTGCAATTGGGGGAGAGTGAAAATAATTACTGAATTGATCAAGAGAGCATCTGATTAGGTTGGATGTTATTCTTTTTGTCTCTTAAGGTTCGATATGATCAGTATATAATTAAATTTAAAATTGTTTTTTATCAAACCTGATCACATTTGATATACTTTGACCTGATTTAGTTTTAATGAGAATAAGGTTTAATATGATCAGTATATAGTTAAATTTAAAGTTATTTTTGACCAATCTGATCACATTTGATATACTTTGATCTGATTTGGTTTTAATGAAAATAAATTATATATGCTATTCTAAGTAATAAAAATAAGTTAAAGAAATTATAGCCTAAGTGTTATATTAGAACACTAATTCTTGGTGTCAAAATAACCCAACCGATAATACTTAAAAGTTTAAATTAGGGGTGTAAACGAACCGAATCGAAGCGAATACCGATATATTTGAATTTGTATTTGTTTAATTTTTTCGAATACGAATCCGAATCCGAATATGAGACGAATTCAAAATAAGATTTGAATAAGTATTTGATTAATATTCGAATAGTTATCGAATCATAAACGAATATTTGAACAATCATACTATGTAATTTATATGATGGACAAACATTAATTTGTAATTTAACTTACGATACTCTTTATACTATACTATATTCCGTATATAAAAACATTAATACATTTGCATCTTACACAAATTATATTTTATAAAATATAACTATTAAAAATCATATGCTTTAGATTTTCGTGTTACGTTAATTTATTGAATTCTTAGTATTTTAAATACACTTTATACTATATTACTTTGCTTGACTTTTGATGTTGAAAACATGGTCTGTGTATATATACATATATTCGAATATTCAAATATCATCCGAATCGAATATATCCCTATTTGTATTTGTATTTGATTACTATTCGAATCAAAAATAATATTTGAATTTGAATTTGTATTTGAATAACGCGAATTCGAATCATCATATTCGAATACGAATCGCGAATCGAATTTAAAATATTTGATTTGTTTACATCCCTAGTTTAAATCGTGAATCAAACCAAGCCACAGGGCTCATGACGGGCAAATTGTTAGTAAACAAATGGACTAGTTTCAAATACTCATGGATATTTAGTTACAAGTGCATGCATCTGACACTATTCCGTGTCTGTGAATATTTATAAAATTTGTAAGAGTTGAATTAAAGGTTAAAGTTTCAAATTTTGGGGTCAAAATAGCATTATTCAATAAATAATGGGGAGAGTATTTAATTACACTTCGGTAGGAATAAAAAATGGGAAACAGGTGTCCATCTCTTTCCATGGCTTCCAACTTTCCCCTTTCACCCACTCAAATTAATCTTCTTTCACATTGCTTTTGCTTAAACCTCCGCGTCGTCGTCCTCTTCACGGAGACAAACCCCTTTTCCTTCCAAATCTTAGCTTTTTCCCATTTCATTTTTTCTTTGTCTTTCTTACACAACTACCCTCTCTCTCTCTCTCTCTCTCTCTCTCTGCAGCCCTAATGCAATAAAAACACAGTAATTCGAATAAACTTCGGGGAGAAAAGGTGAGTTCGAGCCCCTTTTTGATAGTTTTTTTTGCATCTTTCTATCTGCTTTGTCCTCTGATTTGTTCGATTAAGATTAATTTCTGTCTTATTTGACGATTCTTTCAGGAACTGCGATGGTTTTATGCCGAGGTTAGCCTTCAGTGCCTGTCTGATCTGAGGTAAACTTCCATTTTCCCGATTTATAATCCCATGATTAAATCCAATTGCTTCCCGATTATATTCTTATTTTTCATTTCTCTGATGACGATTTGCTCCCCACGATACACTGTTTTTAATTTTAAACAATTATGCTTTCAGGAAAGTGTTTACTTTTGAATTCTTTAGAAATTACATGGTAAAAAGTGCACCAAGTGCGTCTGAACAATTTAAAACGTTGCACTGTTGGTCATAAAATGCTAGATAGGAAGTGCGTTACTCCCAAGTACGGGAATTGCGAGTATAATTCATCTGGCCCTTATAAATTCTCCAAAGTATTCATCCATAAAATTATCGTCTTTATTTAAATGTTCGGGGTAAATCATTCAATTTCTGAAAAGTTTAGGGTTATTTGGTGTTCTTTTTAGTGTTCAGGCATAAACCATACATTTCTGAAAAATTCAAGAATATTTGATATACTTTTTAATATTCCGGAGTAAACCGTACAATTTTCAAACAATTCAATGCATTATTCGTAGGTAAATGATGAGTATAACATTATAATTTATTGAGTAAATTCCATAAATGGTCTTTTATAACATGGAGGCTTCCATATTTAGTCCTCTATTATCAAATATTACCCCCGTAGTCCTTTTTTTTAAGGGTGCCTTTTCACAAATGGTCCTTTTTTTGATCTTCTGGCATGTTGGTATTAATTTAAAGGCTAAAAGTATAATTTGACATCAACATTATGTTTAGTGACATGTTCTGATATTCTTTAAGCGGATAACACAAAAATAATGACTATGAATGTGGGCTATGATTCCGACGAAAGACCACATTTGTAGACTATGGTTGTAGTAGAAAGCGACTGTAATTCACAAACGATGGAAACGGAATAACCTTTGGAATTGTGTATGACAAAAAAGACATATTATCATTGCGGAATTACACTTTTAGCCTTCAAATTAACACCAACATGATAAAAGATCAAAAAAGGACTATTTGTGGAAAAATACCCATAAAAGAAGGACCATTGGTGTAATATTTGATAATAGAGGACTAAATAGGGAAACCCACCTGTTATAAAGGACTAATTATGGAATTTACTCTAATTTATTTCTTATTCGTCCCAAAGAGTAAATTCCATAATTGGTCCTTTATAACAGGGGGGTTTCCCTATTTAGTCCTCTATTATCAATTATTACCCCAGTGGTCCTTCTTTTATGGGTATCTTTCTACAAATAGTCCTTTTTTGATCTTTTATCATGTTGGTGTTAATTTGAAGGCTAAAAGTGTAATTCCGCAACGATAATATGTCTTTTTTGTCATACACAATTCCAAAGGTTATTCCGTTTCCATCGTTTGTGAATTACAGTCGCTTTCTACTACAACCATAGTCTACAAATGTGGTCTTTCGTCGGAATTCTAGCCCACAATCATAGTCATTATTTTTGTATTATCCGCTTAACCAGTATCAGAACACATCACTAAACATAATGTTGATGTCAAATTATATTTTTAGCCTTTAAATTAACACCAACAAGGTAGAAAATCAAAAAAAAGATCATTTGTGGAAAGGCACCCTTTAAAAAAGGACTATGAGGGTAATATTTGATAATAGAAGACTAAATATGAAAACCCCATGTTATAAAGGACCAATTATGGAATTTACTCCGTCCCAAAATAAAGTGAAAATTTTTATTCGTAGATAAATGATGAGTATAACATTAAAATTTATTTTTTATTGGTCCCAAAATAAAGTGAAAATTTCATTTTGAACAAATTGTAGAAAATGTAAAACATTTAAAACTGTCCGTCCGGTTTTAAAACAAAGCGGCGTGTATATAGCTGGAGGAAAGATGTGGTCGAATAGTTGGTGCGTGTTCCTCGTCGCCTTCTGCGATTGTAACACGTGTCCATGTCAAAAAAAAAATCGGTGTGACCTAGCTGGCCCATTCCTTTGAGGGCCCAATAAATTAGTCAACCCATCTTTGTTTACTCTGTATCTTTGGTTGAGTTTATATTTAATTTAATATATTTAATCAATGATATCGTATAAAATTTCAAAATAAAATTTATATATATTTAAAATTTGTGTCAAATTCTTTTATAAAGCAAGATGTGACATAAATATGTTGTTCTAATATATGATTAGCAATCCCTCTTCTTTTTCGAAGCTCCAAAATAAAGTGTAAACCTTTTCACTCGCTCGATTACGAAATGAATATGCTCGACTTATATAATTTGTCTCTTCTAAATGCATTTCAATCACGAGTTTCCTGAGTGATGCTTAAAATGTGGACCTTCTCATATTTTTCATGAGCTTGCATGTGGATATTTTCTTTTTTGAAAATACCAATTTCTTTTATAATACAAATGCACTAAGGTTCATATAATGAGCATGGACCTTAGGTCCACGGAAGAATTTTCCTTCAATCACACGTATCTCACCTTTCAATGTTTTTCTTATAACTCTTTGAGGTCAAAGTGTAAACTTTATTTTGGAATGAAAAGGTGAGATATTAGCAAATCTGCTTGACATTAGCAAATGCCAAATGCTGTTAGAGTTACTGTTTTTCACATTAATAAACCTTAGTAATTGAGTTACCCCTTACGTCAAAATAAGCACGGACACGGTTCGGTTCCGGTTCCCGTGGTGGAACCTTAACCAGAAATGGGTAGGGGTGGTCTGACCAGTTCCAAGTTTTTCCTCGAAAAAATGTTACAAAGTATGTATTTTGCTCCATACTACTTCATATTTTTTGTATTTAAACATTGTAAATCAGCCTTAAACAAATTGGGAATTAGCATTAAAAAATAAGATAAAATAGAACCGGAACCGACCAGAACGGGCAGTTCCGGTTCCCAAAATAGAGGAACCTCAACTAGAACTCTTCCCCGCTGGTTCGGTTTCGAATCCTTCTCACCGTTTCCCCAATTATGAAGCGGAACCCTTTCAGCCTTTCCACCCCTAAGTCTAAATGTGATTGCCGTTTATTTCCTTCTCATTGGCAGTGTGTTAAAGAGAAGGTATAGCATTAACTAAACTATGTAAGTTATTAAATCCAACGAAATCCATTTGGCCCTTATTGTTAGATTAAAAAAAAACTTTTCCCGGGCTACAACCACAAGTTTGAGCTTTTAAAATGAGTAGTTCCTTGACACAAATAATGAAATTTTATACACTAACCTTTGAAACTTTAAACAAGTAATAATGAAAAACAGTTGCGCTGCTAATATAATATTTTCACATCATTTATATATTTTCTCATTTGACCATCCTTTGAGATTTATGAAGGATAAATGTAGTAATGTGAGACCTTGTCACATTAGTAATGTGAGACCTTGTCACATAAATAGCCTAAGAAACGAGCTCAAGAGGAATGAGAACCTAACGATGCAATTGCAGAAAGACGTGTCTGTTTGGACAGCCAAATTTGAAAAGGAGAAAAAAGAGGTTTCCAAACTACATGACCGGATCGCAAGGTATGCTAATTGTTACTCCATTCCGTATTAAGTGTTCGTTATGGTTGTTAAGATACATTAAAAAATGAATGAATGTAGACATAGCTTTTGTCTACATTCATTCATTGTTGAATGTATCACAGACACGGAGTATTATGGATGGAATGAAGGGAGTAGATTATAAAAACGTTCATGGGGTTTTAACCACAAGCTTGAGCTTTTGGTTGAGTTGATTCTTTAACTGATGCCTCCTTGTCGTACGCTTTACATTGATTCTCAAATCACTTGTAATTTTATTTACTAGGTACAAGACAAATCTATCAGAAAGAGACCAGGAAATCCGAGGATTGAAGGAATCAATATCCAACTCGAACCAGGCCTTATCAGAGGAGAACTTGCAGCTTCAAGAGGAAATCAAGAAACTGTTGAAGGAAAGGGCATTCCTGGAAGACAACGCGAAAGAAATGGACGTCCGGTGCCAATGCCTAGAGGAGGAGGCGAAAAGGGCTTTAGCTGGAAAATCAGAAACGGAAGCTCTGCTCGGCTACGAGATCGAACAGTTGCAATCAACCATTGTAGAGAGAAACGGATGCGTGGAAGAGTTGAAATCAATGAACAGCGAGCTCAGCGACGAGATTGATGAGATGAAGAAGCACTTGCATGACCTGCATGTGGAGCATGTGCAGCTGATCGCCGAGGCTGATGGGACCCGCAAACAGGTGGAGGAGCTGAGATCAACCGTCAAAGGTATCGTTGAATTATAAGGACAAAACCAGGGTAACCCCACAATCATTTGACCTCATGCTTTGCACAGACACACACAGACAATAACACCAAAGGTGGTGCAAAATTGTGGGGTTACCCTAGCACGACCACTCGAATTATAATCCTCCAACCCTAAAACCAATTGGCTATGAGAAGAGTAACTTTATATATTAATCTTTTTTTGTGAACTTAAGTTTACGATAGGAGAATTTACTTAAATATCACTAAAACATAATGACTTTCCTTACATAGCATTGTATATGTTTTTCCCAATGTAGCACTTTTAGTCATTATCCATTAGTCATTAGTCAAGTAAATGTTCTCCATCAGTCCATCACTGGACATTATTCCTCCTTCTGGACATTATTAAATGCTATTTAGGAAATAAAACAGTTTAAGTGCTATTTAGTGAAATGACTTAAGTTTTGGTGCTATTTAGTGCAAATATTTCTTTACGATATGGGATTATGTCCTCAACAGGTATGGAGGAAGAGATTAGGAGACAACAAGAGACGATTGAGGAAGGGGCGGAGGAGAAACGGGAGGCCATAAGACAGCTCTGTTTCTCGCTGGAGCACTACCGGAACGGCTACCACCGCCTGCGACAGGTCTTTATGGGCAACAAAGGGCTACCTGTGATGGCGTCCTGAAAAAACAACACACACATTTTCCTCTTTGAGTTCCCTTTTTTGTTTTGTGTGTCTTGTTGTGTGATGTTTTGTTGCAATCTTGAGCCCATGGTGGTTCATTCTGTGTTGGTATAAATAAATGTTTTTTGGTTGAGGTTTTTGGTCTGGTCTTTATCTTTAAGGTATATATGTATACACACACTGATATGTAAATGATGGAATCGCTTTTGGTGTATTTTGGTCTGCTGCTGCCTTAGTATTTTGGTCTTTTTCTCCATTTTCCTCATTTTGTACCGTTCAAACGGCATTCTACCGTGATTGATATGGTATTTATTGGTGTTTCTTTTCTTATGCTTTTGTTTGGATTGTTTGCCTTCATTTAATGGTTTAACACACACGTGGACAGAGACGAACTACAATCCAAACCTAAACAGAAGAGTCATAAACAAACCGTTCACAAAATTCACAAACTTACCTTTTTAACACTTTCCTAGAAATAAGATGCACTCAAATAATAAAAGATGTTTTAGTTTAAAATCCAGAAAAAGCAAGTTTGTGAAGTTTGTGAACTATATGTTTGTGGCTCTAGCATTTTCCATCACACACAAGAGAGGCTAACAACACATTTAAGTAGGGAGACATTCTCAAAATAGAAATTTGGGTGTGGATAAGAAGAATAAAGAATGGATAAGAAATATATGATGATATTTGTGAAAAAATTAGCATTTGTACCACAAGATTTGTATCTCAAATTGTACCCTGTGTACTTTTATTTTGAGCTAGTGTCATACTAGAGTGATGGTTAACACATGAATAAAATGTTAGTGTAAAATTTATTTATAGTACTAGCATTTATGTTAGTGTGAACTGTCAAAGTGTTAGTGTATATCTTTGTTATAATTTTGGGGTACACTCTTTGGTGTAACTGTAGCATAGTTGAAAATTTTAGCTAAATTTAAGTTGCATGTTTACTATTTACATGTTCAAACTTTAACCATATTTTTACCCATTTTCACTATCCATTTGATAAAATAATTTAGTCTTATCACATCTTGTTTTGTAGATCTTTTAATATGATTTTTTTATATTCTCCGTATATAATTTTTTTTAATTCCATGCAATTTTCAAATAAATTAAATTGAAAATAATTTTTATTTAGCCTCGTAAATGATGGGAAATAATACGTGGCTCGATCCACATTTTCCAATTATTTATGAAGAACACTCAAACCGGTCTGTTTAATAAAATAGAGGAATAAGAGAATATTCTCCCGTAGATTCTCCCCCTCCTTCCTATAAAAGAGAGGGTTGCCCTCAAAATTGGAGAGGCCAATTTTTACTCTTTTCCTGTAATTTATTTCTTCAAAGAAGCTTCAAGCTTTTTTTAATGGCTTCCGAGCCCAAACTATGTCTTGTATACAATCCCCCGATATTAATAAAAATCCTCCGTTGGGAATGTACTCCCAAAAAAGGCTCATGGTTTTCTCTCGATTTGGATTTCCACGTCAAAATCCCTATTTTTATATTTTTGTGTATTTTTTAGACTAGTTTATCATTTTTGCCCGGCTAAAAACGAAATATCGGTCGATAATTTACACCATCAGTAAACAACAATAGATGATTCAAATTGGGACGAAGGGAGTACTTGATTACCTTTTTAAAATGTCTTTTTTCAAACTTTAGAAATCAAAACGCTAACCACTAACTCTGATGCTCACGACTAACCGCTAACATGAACCTCTAACTTTAAACTCTACAGCTATTGCCAAATAGCTAGTTCTGGCAAAAAAGTATCCGACTTATTTTTTACTCAAGACTTGATCCGAAAATATTATATTTTAAAAAAAGATTTTGTTGTTCGAACCCCGAAGATGACCCGCTAAAAATGGGTCAAACACTGAAGCTTGACATGACCTGAACCCAACCTTATCGACCCGCTAATGTGAGGATTTTTCAAAATTATATATTTTAATATGGAAAATAGTTTCATAAAAATAAGATTATGTTTTAGTTTTATTTCTTATTACTGATTTTTAGTTTATCAGTTTATATTTTGATATAAGTTTTTAAATATGTATCTTATATTTTAATATATTTTATTCGAAAGTAATTCATATTTAATATTGTGTTATTTATTTTATATTGTTAAACATATCTAAAAAGGAACTAAGAAATTCAAAATAAATATTCTAAGAGATTTGATATATGTATTTTGATATTTTATTATTTTTAATACAAAATGTAAGTGTTAATATGAATTTAAATATTTCTTAAAATAAATCTCATTTCCCGTTGGATCGACTCAAAACTGTATGTACTTCTCAATCCAAATTCGATGTAATCCAAATTTAAAGTGATCAAAACTAAACCCAATCTGACCATTCGATTTGTCAATTCTACCAAGACTAAGATTGAGCTTTATCACGTGAGTGAGGGAAATATTGAAAATATTGAGTGACCTGAATATCAAAAGCATCTTTGCATAGAGAGACAAGGAAATCATTTAGGGTTGTACTTTTTTGGATGCACACACATGTCTAAGTATGCAAGCCCAAAGACATAACCCATTACTCCATATATCCACCTTGTTGGCATAATTGCGGAGAGATTTGTGTTAGAAGTTAGGACAATGGTTTATTGCTAAGAGCTTAAAATTACTCCATTTATGCCATTTTTACAAATTTTGACTTTTCTCCATTCTATCAAATGTTAAATCTTTTCACTATTTTTTTGGTTTTGTAAGTATATTTCAAAGAAAAATTATTTTGTTTTATAGTATCCAACTTCTTACCAATGATAAAGTATGTTTTTGAGTGATGTGCGCTAATGACTAACAACAATCCATTAGAATCACACGAGTGATATGTCCTAAGAAGTAAGTACATATTTTTTCTTTATGCATTTTAATCAATCATTTGATAAGATAATATATTCAAGACACTACTTATTTTGTAGAACTCTATACTATGACAAATGAAGCATTAAATACTGCGTCCATCCCGAAAAGAAATTTTGTTTAGAATTCTTAAGGTAAAATTTTCTATCTGTCTTCGACGGAGCCAAAGATTCACTATTTTTTAAATTTCGGCCGTGATGGAATAAAGTAAAATGAATACCTACACAACGCGTCTTTAATTAATAATGAAATAACATTTAGTCAATCAATGCAATTTTCAACATATATCCTTCCTAGACCCTACTCTTGTGGGATTCAATTGAGTTGTTGTTGTATTCTTACTTTAAAACTTTGACTACTATATTTCCATATTTCAATTCTTATTATGTACTTCCTATGTCCCCAATTTGATAATGATTTTTCTCTCTCTCTCTCTTCTCGATAACTTTTGTTTGTTTACGCGATTTCATTAAATATTTTATAAAATAAAATATTCTTATCACTTCTTATTTTGTAAAACTTTTGACGTAGTTTTTTAATATGTAATTTTTATTTTCTTATCGATATACCAATTCGTAAATAAAATGATTATAAAGAATGTAGATGGATCTCATTTGACTCTCTCTTCATATTATAGTAAAATAAAGAATCTTCCAATCCGTTTGCATGATAAGAAAATAGAGAGAAAAAAAAAAGTTGAGTTGAGAAAACTCTTTTTCTAGATGATTTCATAACTTTATTTTCCAATCCTGGTGTGTCCACTCATGGGCTATAATATTCATATACAAGTACTTTTCCCGTCTTAAAACTTTTTAATTATTTTTTAATCTATTTTCATAAATTATGTGATAAAATAATATAGTCTTGTAACTGATTATTTTGTAGAATTTTATATGTAATTTTAAAATATATAATTTTTTTAACTTTACACCTACTATTAAATTGAATTAAAAAATAAAATCGTTCATCGTAAAGAGAAATAGAGGGAACATCTTAAGAAGAGGAAGTAGTTCACACTTATTTTTTAGAATAGAATTACACAATAGCACACAGCATTGGTTTGTCACCAACCCACCCATCATTCTCACCAACGACACCAATCATCCACACCCGACCTAACCCTCCACCCTCCCTCAAACCTAACCCCTCTTACAATTGAATTGGTGCACATCAAAATACAAATGTTTTTGGTTTGACTTATAACAAATGTTTAAAGAAAATAACAATATTATTTGAAAGTGACACAGAGAAGAGAGAATAATTACGGAGTATGAATCATTCAATTTTTTTCAAAAGATGAAAAAATAGATTTTTTTTGGCGTTTCAAAATTAAGAGAGTCTTTTTTTGTGGTAAAAAAGTTCTCAAATTTCAATCATTTATTTTTCGTTTTTTCAACATCTTATTTTTTTGAAATCAAAGCGAGTAATATTTAAATAAAAATTAAAGCATGAAGCATACATGAAAATATGCTTTCTATGTTTTATTTCTTAAACATAAGTGCTTACATTATAAAAGCATCCGCAATTTGACATTTTGTATTAGCAATTTACAATGTTTTTTGACATTACTATACGTTTTGGCATTGCTCGGCATTATAATTTTTATTGTGGTATAAAAAAAGATATTGAAGGCCCTGTTTTAATATTTCGATCGTCCCAAAATGGTTTATAAAATTCACGATTCTATATATATATATAAGAACTTAAGTTTGATTGCATATTTTTCGTTGATTATTTGAAAAAATTAAATATTTATGTCACATTTTATTTTGTAGAACTTTTGACGTAGTTTTGGATTACACAATTTAATTTTTTATTTTAAAACCAATTTTCAAATAAAATAAATTTAAAAAACTCAGGATTTCACCTCGTTTTAGCTTTCATGCAAGTCTTTTTGTGGCGAGGAGAGCATGTAAAATACTTCCTTCATCGCTAAAAATATTTCAGGTTTTGAAATAAACGCTTTTTGGAGTTACCTTAACTCTAAACTTGGTATAGGCACGCACATGGAATTATTGTTTGTGTGACACAGACATTAACTATATGTTTGTTTCTTTGCCAAGCTTGGGATCGTAACAGATTAACAACCATAAAATTTTGGAATAACAAGAGTGTTGGATGGAGAGCGTAATTTTTTTTACTTTCAAATTCTTTAAATCAACATAGTGCAATTAACTAGAAGTATTTATAATTTGAGCAATGCTAAGGTGTACCCCCATTTGTCCCCACCCATTTCTCAACTACTCATTTTTATCCCATTTTTATTTATTTAATTTTTTTAAATTTCTTGTCCATTTTTGTGGTAATAAAAGGGGTGGAGGACCCTATCATTTTTCTTATACGGAGTAATTTATATCATGTTAAATAGACAAAAAAAAAATAAAAATAACGTCACAATCCATGTCAAGTAAAGGTAGCTGCAAAGGAGTCTCAAAATTACACCTTCCAAACGATCCACCTAACCCCTCCCTGTCTTAGCCCACCCTCTTCATTTCTACCGAGTATAAATCTCCATTTCTGCCGCTCGATTTAACATTTTCCGTTCTCCTCCGGCAACCACCGGCACTTTTTCCGATACACTTTCTTGCGAATCACAATTCCCGCTTAGTTGAAGATGGATCTTCTCCTCGCAGAGAAAACCCTTTTGGGTCTCTTCATCGCCGTCGTAGTCGCTATTGTGGTCTCTAAGCTCCGCGGCAAGAAATACAAGCTCCCCCCGGGCCCAATTCCGGTTCCGGTGTTCGGGAACTGGCTCCAGATCGGCGACGACTTGAACCACCGGAATCTGACCGAGTACGCGAAGAAGTTCGGCGAGGTCTTCCTGCTGCGGATGGGGCAGAGGAATCTGGTGGTGGTGTCGTCGCCGGAGCTCGCTAAGGAGGTGCTCCACACGCAGGGGGTGGAGTTCGGGTCGCGGACCCGGAACGTGGTGTTCGACATCTTCACCGGGAAGGGACAGGATATGGTGTTCACGGTCTACGGCGAGCACTGGCGGAAGATGCGGAGGATCATGACCGTCCCGTTCTTCACCAACAAGGTGGTCCAGCAGTACCGGGGCGGGTGGGAGGCGGAGATCGCCAGCGTGGTGGAGGACGTGAGGAGGAACCCGGCGGCGGCGACGGAGGGGATCGTGCTCCGGCGGCGGCTGCAGCTGATGATGTACAACAACATGTACCGGATCATGTTCGACAGGAGGTTCGAGAGCGAGGAGGACCCGTTGTTCATCAAGCTCAAGGCGTTGAATGGGGAGAGGAGCAGACTGGCGCAGAGCTTCGAGTACAACTATGGAGATTTCATCCCCATCTTGAGGCCATTCTTGAGAGGCTACCTGAAGATCTGCAAGGAGCTTCAGGAGAGGAGATTGAAGCTCTTCAAGGATTTCTTTGTTGATGAAAGGAAGTAAGTCCTCCTCTTCACATTTTCAATTCTAATCTTTTCTTCCAATCCAATTGGCCTCTAAATTTGCTGAATCTTAGCTGTTAATTTTCACATCCATTAGAAAGTGTTCTTGATTGTGCAAAGATTCATCCTGGTTTAGGGCATTGAATTAGGATTTGCATTTTTGAAAGAAACCTTTTTTTTAGCTTTACATTTTAGCACTATGATAGATCTGCTAGCTTTTTGGTAGTCAAACACTTGATATTCAAATCCAAAAGAGGAGATAAAACAACAAAAAGCCCAGTATGATCTCAACTATGTTGGTCAAGATGTACACAATCTAGATGTTTTGCTTTAGTTACCCTCCAAAGCTTCAAAGAATCTCATAAGCAAAGAAGTCTGACTTTCCATTTTTACCTATTTATAAGGGGAAATTAGATCTTGAAAAGTATAGACTGTCAAATTAAAATAAGTAGTCAAAGTTCAACGGCCATGGAAGATGAAAAGGCCTGTAAATTCATTGTTACTATGTTCTACATTTGACTTCTGGTTTCATTGCTCCATCCATTCAAACTATTTGATCACAAATATTTACTTGACACATTAAGAAAATGGAATTTGTGTGATTGGGATTCACTTGGAAGTGAGAGAAAAATGTCAAGTAAATGTAATCATGATGAAAATGTTGGGCAACCCATAAGTGAAGATCTTTCGACAACCCGAAGAATAAAATGAGAACTCCAAAACAACTCAAAAGAAAATGATAGGACGGAAGCAATGTTTTAGCTTCTTGGATATATGGCTTACATCCTCTCTTCTTCTTTTTTTTTCTTTCCTTTTTATGTTGCAGGAATCTTGCAAGCACAAAAAAGATAAACAATGGCACTCTCAAGTGTGCGATTGACCACATTCTTGACGCCCAACAAAAGGGAGAGATCAACGAGGATAACGTCCTCTACATTGTTGAGAACATCAATGTCGCCGGTATACTTCTCAATCTCCAATGTGCTATGCACCACTCTTAATGTCACCAATTTCATCTCTTTTTGAGTACCATTACTTCTGTTACAATGTAGTATCTGCCTATAATGACATGTTTGTTTGGGGTGCAGCAATTGAAACCACACTGTGGTCAATCGAGTGGGGCATCGCCGAACTAGTGAACCACCCCAAGATCCAGGAGAAGCTCCGCCGCGAGATTGACACGGTTCTTGGGCCCGGCGTCCAAGTCACTGAGCCGGACACCCACAAGCTCCCCTACCTTCAGGCGGTGATCAAGGAGACCCTCCGCCTGAGAATGGCCATTCCCCTCCTCGTCCCCCACATGAACCTCCACGATGCCAAGCTTGGGGGGTTTGACATTCCGGCGGAGAGCAAGATCCTGGTCAACGCGTGGTGGCTGGCCAACAACCCCGCCCTGTGGAAGAAGCCGGAGGAGTTCAGGCCAGAGAGGTTCTTGGAGGAGGAGAAGCACGTGGAGGCGAATGGGAACGACTTCAGGTTCCTGCCCTTTGGGGTCGGGCGGAGGAGCTGCCCGGGGATCATCCTCGCGCTGCCCATTCTCGGCATCGTTTTGGGGCGGCTGGTTCAGAACTTCGAGCTCTTGCCGCCGCCCGGCCAGTCGGCGGTGGACACCACCGAGAAAGGCGGCCAGTTCAGTCTTCACATTTTAAAGCACTCCACCATAGTGTTGAAGCCGAGAAGCGTTTGAGTTGTTTGGGGGGTTTATATGTTTCAAATTATGGGATTTGTTGTTTCGTGTTTTTTGTCATATGGTGTCATCATTGTAAAGTCTCTTTTATTTAGACATAATAAATAACCTTACATTGCCAATTGCCAATTCAATTGTGACAAATAAATTTGTAATGGCAGCTAAATTTGATTGAAATATTTGCAATAAATAGCACTAAAACTTAAGTCATTTTTCTAAATAACACTTAAATTGTTTTATTTCTAAAATAAAACATAATAATGTCCATAATGTCCCGTGATGACGAGCATTTACTTGAATAATGAGTAATGAATAATGACTAAAAATGTTATATTGGAAAAAAACACATTTAATGTTATTTAGGGAAAGTCATGTTTTAGTACTATTTAAGTAAATTTTCCAATTTGATTCTCATAAGATCGGTACAACAAACAAATTATGTTAAATACCTAATACTATGTTAATTACAAGTAGTAAACATAACCAGATTAAGCTATTAGTACCCCAAGATTTATACCTGACATTGTACACCATAAGTGTGCACTTCCATTTTATGTCAATGTGATGTTAGGATAATAGTTCATACAGACACAAAATATCAGTATAAATTTTTTTCGCACTAGTATTTTGTGCCAATATAAATTATCATAATGTTAATAAGTATTTTCGGCATAATTTTGGGGTACACTCCCTGATGTAATTGTAGGATGGTTGAACATAACTCTCTAGTTATTGAATACAAATAATGAAGATAATAACATGATCGAGCATGTCCCTAATCATTTTGGAAATTACTTGGAATGAGTAAATCTTTTTTAATACCAAAGTGATGATTATAATAAGGTCCATTTTAGGGGTGGACAAGATTGATTCCGAAATCAAACTAAAATTGGAACCGTTCAGTATCGCCAGAGAAGTATTGAAGTTACGTTCTCACTTTCGGGTGCCGAAACCGTTTGGATTGGATCATGTATCAGTTCTTTTTTATGTTTATTATTAAAATTTTTTAAGATTGATTCATAAAATTAACCTCTATAAAATACAGTTTATGAAGTAAAAATATGTAGAATGTAACCTTGGTATAGAAAAATTAATTTGGAACGGGTGATTCTGGAACCAATAAATACCATGTGAGTATGTGACCATATACCCCAAACCCACTTGAAAAGCTCTCCTAAATTAGGTGACGCCAATGGCTTAGGTGACCACGCGTTGTCAAGTTCGGGCCACAAAATGAGTTGACTGCGACACACTACTCCAAACATTTGAATTGACGTCGTAATTAATTTGGCCACCAAACACAATTGACGGCCGTTAACATTTGAATATTTGATCACTCCCACCAACCCTAAATTTCTTACGCTTTGATGGTAGTCTAGATCTAGTTAATAAAATTCTTCTTTAAAAAATTAAGATTGCAGTTAATTCTCGAAATGGCGCTTCAGTAGCGTTTGCAGCACTCAAATATGATCTAACACATCTTAGTGCTTGCATTGTAATTTTGTAATTCACGCATTAACGATTTAGATGCACTTGTGGCACTCGTTCATTCCTTTTATAAAAAAAATATAATGTATTTCTTTTTAGTCAAAAGAAAAAGATAGTTGATGGATATCGGGTCTGGTAGACCCGACTTCAGGCCCAAATGAAGGCCCATAGTGGCCCGAAAAGGAATAAGATCAGATGGGATGACGGGCCAAGCCCATTATCTCGTCTTTGGCAAGTGGAAAGAGATGGCCCAAACATGAGGCAGATCGGCACGACCCAGTCCAAAGGAGGAATGGGACGCGTGGCCTACATCGTCGAGTTATGGGCGAAGTGGGAAGAGAACGAGACCGGAAAGAAGGGGAAACACAACCCCACGATCTCCATAATCCATTTCCACTTTGTGTAATTTTAATTAGAATATTAGAAAGTACTATAAAAGGGGGGGAACCCGCCATTGTAAAAAAAGGTCACAAGAAGACCATTCAATACTTAATCAAAGAATATTATCGAGTAATTATATCTTCCTAATCCATATTCCGTTCTTGGTCCGCCATCTGATCGGGTCAATCCCATCATTGGTGCTTTCATTGAGATAATACTGTGAGATAAGGCTGTGAGATAATGGCCGGACGAAGGACGAGACGTAACCCTGCTACTTCTGCCCAGTCAACGGTAAGGAGTGACAACCCTGAGCAGGGTATGATTGTTCCTGTCAATGGGTTGGAAACAGCGCTAAATAATGTGGCTAACATGATGGCCAACATTATGGAGCGATTGGATAAGGCTCTTCCAGGTCCATCCGGAACCCGGGATATCCCACCCGGGCAACCCCGCCAGGTCCTGCGTACTGCGAGTTCTCCTGTCCTACAGGAGCTCCACGATCCGGAGGAGGTTGAAAGGGAAAGGCGAGCCATTGACAGACGCCGGGCAGAGGAATTGGCCCGGAACAACAAGGTGAACGAAGGCCAAGCTAAGGATCCAAGCCGGATCTTCGGCGATGGACACAAAAATCCGCGGGGATCTGTCTTTGAAAGGATATCTTGCCAGAAAGCTCACGTTAGTGAGAGACTCGGGAAGAATCCGGAAAAGGCACCCCAGGGTTGGATACGACCTCAGGCCAGCAAGGTGGCATCCTCCAGTCGCGAACCCCGGCAGCGCAATGATCGAGGCGTGAGCCAAGTGCCGGTCCTGTCATTGCGGAACCTGGAGGAGGACGAGGTCCAAAGCCAAGCCAGGGTCCCAGCACCGCGGCGTCTGGGACCGCCGGTGCTGGAAGCCGGTGAATTTCAAGACCTGAGAGAGCAGATCCAGGAGATGCAGAGGAAGATAAACAAGGGTCGAGTGTTCACTACTCGAACGAATACTCCCTTGGCTCCAGAGATCTTTGCGGAACCATATCTGCAGGGATTCAAAATGCCATTTGTCAAGCGTTATGACGGCGAATCAGACCCCCAAGAGCACATAAATAGCTATGAGTTGGAAGATTATCTTGGGCAGACCCGGATTGGAAGATTTGGAGTGTGTCATCTCACCTCGCCACCTCTGCATAAAATTCCCAACCCCCCACGGAGTTGGAATTGCCAGGGGATCTCAGAGAGTATCCCGGACATGGTATTTGAAGGCAACCAAACAGCCCGTCAAATACGATACCCAAGTGGGAGAGGTCACTGCACAGCTCTTGAGGGCTGAGGAAAAACGTCCCAGAGTAGAAGTTGTCGGCGACATCGAAGAAGTGGAATTGGAGCCAGGCACGCCGGGAAGGTTGGTAAGGATCGGCAAGGACCTGGGGGCTGAACTCAGATCACGAGTGATTGCAGTCCTCAGGAGGTTCAGAAGGGTCTTTGCATGGAGTCCAGCTGATATGCCAGGGCTGGACCACAAGATTGATGTTCATCGCCTAAATGTTCTGCCGGAGGCAAAACCGGTGAAGCAAAAACAAAGGCATTTGTCGCAGGAAAGAAGAGATTTCGTAAAGAAGGAGGTAGCAACCCTACAGAGTATTGGGCATATCTGGGAGGTACAATACCCAGATTGGTTGGCGAATGTAGTCCTAGCACCCAAGCCACCTTCATGGAGGATGTGCGTCGACTACACAGATTTGAACAAGGCATGCCCCATGGATCCGTTTCCGCTCCCCAACATTGATCAGATGGTCGATGAAACTGCCGGGTCGGAGTTAATGAGCTTCATGGACGCTTTCAGCAGATATCACCAGATCCGGATGCATCCGGCCGATGCTGAGAGGACAAGCTTTATGACCCTAGAAGGGCTGTACTGTTACCTGGTGATGGCTTTTGGACTGAGAAATTCCGGGGCCACATATACCCGGATGGTTTCTCAGGTGTTCAAGAATGTCCTAGGGCGGACAATGGAGGCGTATGTTGATGATATGATTGTCAAGTCCAAAGAGGCCCGAGACCATGTCCGGGACCTTGAAGAGGTCTTTGAAATGATGATGAAGGTAAATCTGAGATTGAACCTAAAAAAATGTACCTTTGCTGTTCAAGGTGGGAAATTCCTGGGGCACATGGTAAGCCGGAAAGGAATTGAGGCAAACCCGGAGAAAGTTAGAGCCATCATGGAGATGGAACCTCCGAAGACAGCCAAGGAGGTTCAGCGGCTAACAGGAAGGTTGGCAGCCTTGAATCGTTTCCTTTCAAAGCTGGCAGAGAAGGCGCACCCATTCTTTGCGGTGATTAAGAAAAGGACGACCTTCGAATGGACACCGAAATGTCAAGAAGCATTTGAAGAATTAAAGAGATATCTCACAAGTCCGCCGGTTTTATCCAAGCCTGAACCTGGGGATATTCTAACTCTATATTTGGCGATTGCGGATTGTGCCATAAGTACTGTGATCGTGAGAGAAGAACGTGGGGCCCAACATCCGGTCTACTACGTCAGCAAGACCCTGAGGGATGCGGAGTTAAGGTATTCCCGACCAGAGAAAGCCATGTTGGCAGTCTTCTGGACGGCGAAGAGATTGACACCGTACTTTCAGGCTCACCGGATTATTGTGCTCACCAATGAGCCATTGGCGTCACTTAGCCGGAGCCCGGCGGCATCGGCCCAGATGACCAAGTGGTCGGTCTTTATCAGTCAGTACAACGTGGAATTAGGACCACGCCCATCCATCAAAGGGCAAGCACTCGCTGATTTCCAAGTCGAGTGCACCACTAGGGAAATGACGAGAGCCCAGGTTGACACCCGGATGGAGAAAGATTGGTGGATAATGTGCATCGACGGATCTTCCGGGTCTCGATCTTCCGGGTCTCGATCTTATTACGCCATCAGATTTCAGTTCCGTGTCTCCAACAATGAAGCTGAGTATGAGGCCCTGATCAATGGTTTGAAGATTCTTGGTAAGATGGGAGTATCCAGGGTTCAAGTCTACAGCGACTCCCGACTTGTGGTGGGACAAATCACAGGGGAGTTTGAGGCAAAGGAAGAGAGGATGAAGAGGTACCGGGACTTGTCTCTAGAGATGTTGGGAAGGTTTGAGTTTAAGCTTGAACATATACCCCGGGCCCAGAACGCAGAGGCTGACGTTCTGTCTAAGCTCAGCGCAGAATCACCGGAATACATAAGCAGATTAGCAACTGTCGAAGAGCTGGTAACCCCGAGTCTTAGTAACAATGAGGTGATCTGGGTATCAGCTGATCCCCCGGAATGGTTGGACCGATTGGCCAAATACATTGAGGACGGTGAAGCCCCGGAGAATACCCAGGAAGCGCGTCTATTACGAATGAGGGCACCAACCTACAAGGTGCAGGACGGAGTCCTCTATAAGCGGTCTTACAACGGTGTCCTACTCCGTTGCCTTAGAGCAACAGAGGCGAAGGCATTGATGGAAGAAATACACGAAGGAATATGTGCCGCACATCAGGGTCCTTATTCCATTTCCAGGAGGGCTATCATCCAGGGATATTTCTGGCCAACGATGAGGAAGGATTGCGAAGAGTATGTACGCAAGTGCCTGACTTGCCAGCAATTCCAGAATATACCCGGGAGACCAGCCACTAACTACACACCCATCAGCTCCGTGATTCCCTTCTCAAGATGGGGGATTGACCTTGTGGGAGCCCTGCCAAAAGGGGCGGGGCAGGCAAGATGGATTGTGGTGGCGATAGACTATTTCACAAAGTGGGTGGAGGCTGAGCCACTTGCAGGGATCATCGGAAGGTAGATGATCGACTTCGTTGGGACTAATATACTCTGCAGGTTTGGGGTCCCGAAGCAGATTATATCAGACAATGGAACCCAGTTTGAGGAAGCAGAATTTCAAGACTTTCTCAAAACTTGGGGAATTCAGCACACAAAGGTGTCTGTTGCATACCCTCAGGCTAATGGACAAGTGGAGAACGTCAACAGAACAATCATAGACGGAATAAAGAAGAAGCTACTTTCAGAAGGAAGCAAATGGGTCGATGAACTGCCCAGAATCCTGTGGACATACAGGACGACTCCGAGGAGAGCCACGGGTGACACTCCTTTTGGCTTGGCATATGGTTTTGAAGCACGGGCCCCTGCCGAGGTAGTAATCCCCACCAGGAGAGAAATGGAATATGACCCGGAGGTGAATGAACAGAACCAGGCCGTAGAGCTGAATTTCGTAGAAGAACGAAGGGATGAAGCACGCATCCGGGCAGAAAATTATCGTCGTCAGGTGAAATCTTACTTTGATAGCAAGGTGAAACCAAGGGCATTCCAGGTGGGGGATTATGTTCTGAGGAAACGAGAGAAGAGTCAACCGACTAAAGGTGGGAAGCTGGCGAAGAAGTATGAAGGACCTTATATCATCAAGGCCGTAGTTCGCCCAGGTACCTACAAGTTGGTGACTCCCAAGGGGAAAGAAATTGATAGGACATGGAATGTAGAGCACTTGGTTAAATTTTATCAATAAATCATTTTGTAAAAATACTCTATTTTTAATTGCAAATGTTTGTTTCATTCACCTTCTTCCATAGCCAAGTGCCTTTGCAATTTCATTGTTCTATGGATTTCTTTAAAAAAAAAGGGGGGGACGCACCCCCGGGCAATGTAGACCCGCGTTACAGGGAGGTAGAAAAGTTTATGCCACCTGCTAAAAATAGGGGAGGTAGATAAGTTTATGCCCCCCCGGAGGTAGAGAAGTTTATGTCTCCGTCAAGATTGAAGGAAGGGTTGAGATTGGACTTCGAGGGCCACTACAACCCGGAATTCAGGAAGAATAGCAAGCAGACTTCGAGGGCTGAAGCTTAGTATTCCACTAGTATAGATCAACTGAGCAAACAAACTTCGAGGGTTGGAGCTCAACTGATCCAAGGTAGATAAGATTATGCCTTAACCCGGAGGAAGGGAAGGCCAGGGGCAGATATGATAAGGGCCCTAGGTATTCCCAAACCCCGGGAAGATGAGATTTATCATAGAGAATGAATTATGTACTTGCATTTAAAGAGGTGCAAAGAAATGATCATTAAGGACCATGTTGATGGGCCAAGGCTTACATTTTTTGGTTCACAATAAAGGTTCCTAGTGAAATAAACAAGAGAAGAAACTAAGGGAATTATCGATTGCTAATT